CCCTCTCATAGCTCTCAGACTAAAAATAGTCCTGTCAATAACAAATGTTTTGTTTGTAACAAAAATGATCACAAAGTTTACACTTGTGACGTATTTCAAAATAAATCTCCTCGAGAGCGACACGCCATTGTTAAAAAACATAATCGTTGTTTTTCTTGCTTGGGTGAACATAGCTCCAAAGAATGCCGCTCTCAGTTCACTTGTCGCACATGTAAACAGCGACACCACTCTCTCTTACACCTTGGTGATAATAATCAAACCTCTCAGATGTCTTTTCGACCTCAAGGTCAAAGAACTTCCCCGACCACTTCAGGTCCATCTCACACTCAGACTGGTGATGTTAATTCACAAGCCTCTATCTCCGCCACTGTCGCGGATGTAAGCAATTATTCTGCCCAAAATAACTCATGTACGACTTCGGGTAATTATACTGTATTACTCGGCACCGCCTTGGTCAAGTTGACTTCCCCTCAGGGTATCTCTCATGTGTTTCGTGCTCTACTAGATACTGGCAGTATGTGTGATCTGCTCTCAGAACGCGCTGCGAATCTCCTGAATATAAAACGCCAGTCTTCTCAACTCAAAATATCTGGTCTTTCTCAAATGGCTTCCTGTACTAAAGGGTCAACTTACTTGAATCTTGAAACTCTCTCAGGTCGAGTAATAGCCACTGACCATCAATTCCATATTCTTGATAAGATTTCCGTCGACTTACCTCGCTCCCCTATATCACCGGAAGTGCTAACAAAAATCAAGCCCTATGTTCTAGCTGATCCTACTTTTCACTTGCCTGGTGGCATTGACGTGCTTATAGGTAGTTCTCTGCTACCCCTCCTCTGGACTCATGAAAGTTACTCCCTCGGCACGCACATGCCTCATGTGATAGGTACTCATCTTGGCTTTATTCTGATGGGTAAAGCTCCCTGTGCAACTAACTCGGAACCCGTGTCAGGTTTTGCAATCTCTCTTCTCTCTGTTAGTGATAATTCACTACACTCTTCCCTGCAACGTTTTTGGCAACAGGAGGAACCCCCTCACTTCCAGGTTAAGTCACAGGAAGAGCTTCTTTGTGATGAATACTATAAAAAATCACACTCTCGTGATCAATCAGGTCGTTATGTTGTGCGACTTCCGTTCAAGACGGACCCCTCCATTCTAGGCCAATCTAGGCCCATTGCTGAAAAGCGCTTGTTGTCTATTGAGCAGAAATTTAAAGCTCAACCCCATTTTTCACACTTGTATAAGACGTTCATGTCTGAATATCAAACTCTTGGCCATATGACAAAACTAGATTTTGTTGAAGACATACACCCACACTACTTCCTACCTCATCATGGGGTACTGAAGGACTCTAGCACGACCAATTTAAGGACAGTGTTTGACGCCAGTAGCAAAACCAGTTCCGGTCACTCCTTAAACGATATTCTTTTGACAGGACGTAAATTACAAACTGACATTTGTGACGTAATTTTGAACTTCCGCTCTCATAAAATTGTGTTTTCATGTGACATTCGGCAAATGTACCGCCAAATACAAGTGCACCCTGACGATCAAAAGTTTCAACTGATTATGTGGCGTGACGACCCTTCAAAGGAAATCTCTACGTTTCAACTTACTACCGTCACCTACGGCATGAACAGCTCCCCCTACCTTGCTATTAAAACTTTAATGCAGTTAGCGGAAGACGAAGGTGATGCCTTCCCTCAGGCTTCTCACTCTCTACGTCATCACACCTACGTGGACGACATTATCACGGGTGCTGACTCCGTTGAGGCTGCTCTTGAACTACAGGACCAACTTATCCAACTTCTACATCGTGGTGGCTTTGAACTTCGCAAGTGGGCCTCCAACTCCTCTGCTCTTCTAGAAAAATTTCCTTCGGAACATCTAGAGACTCCAAGTTTCCTGCAAGACGCTCAGCTTCCCCAGTACTCCATCCTAGGTCTCCATTGGTCTCCTGAAGAAGACTGTTTCTGTTACGCTTTCAACCCCCCGTCTGAAAAGCTGACTAAGCGCTCCGTGCTCAGCTTTATTGCCAAACTATATGACCCCTGTGGATTTTTGTCCCCATTAATCATGGTAGCAAAATGCTTCATGCAATTACTATGGACTCAAGGTCTTGATTGGGACGACCCTCTCCCTTCTGATCTCGCACATAAGTGGCATGTGTTCACTAGTAACACTAAAGACCACCTCGGTCAAATTAAGATCTCCCGAGCATTTCCGCTCGCTCACTCCTCTGATATCGAGCTTCACGGTTTCTGTGATGCATCGGAATGCGGTTATGCCGCGGTAGTGTATTTCCGGTGTGAATTTAGTGACAAAACAGTCATTGTGAAACAAATATTGTCTAAGACTCGTGTTGCCCCGTTAAAAAAGGTAACTTTACCCCGCTTGGAATTGTGTGCAGCTCACCTCTTATCAAAACTAGTGCATTATTGTGAAAATCAATTTAACTCTCTTACTATGAATACCACTGTATTGTGGAGTGACTCATCTGTAGTTCTTACTTGGCTACAAACCCCTCCATACAGACTAAAGACCTTTGTGGCTAATCGTGTAGCCCAAGTGCAAGAAATCATTCCCAGTTATCAGTGGCGGCACATAAAAGGGACGGAAAACCCCGCTGATTGTGCCTCACGAGGAATTCTAGCCTCATCTCTCATTGACCATCCCTTATGGTGGACTGGCCCACCATGGTTACAGCTCCCTGCGGCCAACTGGCCCCCCTCATGTTTTTCGCCGTCTGAACTCACTCCCACGGACGAAATTAAAGAAACTCCTCTTAGTGTACTTAGTGCAACAGTCGCCCCTTCGGAATGGGACTTATTGTCTAAATATTCATCTTGGTTGAAACTAACCCGTGTGCTAGCTTATGTACTACGATTCATAAACTATTCCAGGTCTAAAAACAAACTCTCTGGACACTTAAAACTCAGTGAATTAAATCTAGCGGAAGTGACAATTTTTAAACTAGTGCAAAAACTCCATTTCAGTGCGGATATTAAATTATTGAACAAAGGCTCAATATGTTCTGCACAATTACAGAAACTCACCCCCTTCCTCGACCCTAATGGTCTCATACGCGTCGGTGGCCGATTGTCACATTGTTCGCTTGCTCATGACATACGTCACCCTATTGTTCTACCCAAGTCTCATACTGTAGTGAATTTGCTTATAGACTTTTACCACCAGGTACACTTGCACTCAGGTCCGCAACTAACTCAATCACTACTCGCCCGAAAAGTGTGGATTCTATCGGCCAGGAGCGTTATCCGCTCGCGCATATTTAAGTGTCTTGTGTGCTTTAAAAATAAACCACGAAACAAAATCCCTCTAATGGGTGATTTACCTGCTCATCGGGTCAATCCTACTCGTCCACTCTCATCTACAGGCGTAGATTACGCCGGACCATTTAGTGTTCGCGTTTGCAGTCTCAAAGCTCTTAGACAGATTAAGGTCTATTTGTGTATTTTTATCTGCATGGCTACCAAAGCTATTCATATAGAGGTAGTCACCGATCTTACCACCTCAGGCTTCATTGCCGCTCTCACACGTTTTGTGTCGAGACGCGGACTCTGTTCCGATCTGTATTCTGACTGCGGAACCAACTTTGTTGGTGCAAACTCGGAATTACGCAAGGTAATCCGTGAAACCATCCTTACACCTGATTCGCACGACAAAATTGTTCATTTCACCACCCCCAAAGGAATTAACTTCCATTTCAACCCCCCCTCTGCACCTCATCAAGGTGGCTTATGGGAAAGTGCCGTTAAAAGTGCAAAATACCATCTGAAACGGGTAATTGGTGAAACCATTTTAACTTTAACCCAATTTCAAACTTTGTCCATTCAAGTAGAGGCAATGCTAAACTCGCGCCCTCTTACAGCTCTTAGTTCAGACCCTTCCGAAATTTCTGTGCTGACCCCTGGACATTTCCTCATCGGAGCTCCATTAGTTGCCCTGCCGGAACCTCACCTGTCTGAAGTGCCCTTCAATCGTCTTCGTCAGTGGCAGCTTGTCCAGGCTTTTCACCAGCGTCTCTGGAGGCGTTGGCAGCTTGAATATCTCCACTCCCTCCAGCAGCGATCCAAGTGGACCACCCCTCATGAGAATTTGAAGACCGGAGACTTGGTGCTCATTCACTCCAATTCACCTCCACTCACCTGGCCTCTTGGACGCATCGTCTCCACTCACCCTGGTGCTGATGGAACAGTTCGAGTCGTCACAGTGAAGACAGCTTCTGGGACTTTCACACGGCCTGTTCACAAGGTCTTCCCTCTGCCATGCAATGAAGACTAAGTCCAAGAAACCTACTCTATGTACATATTAGATTTAAGTGTGGTTTACGTTTGCTCTTGTGTTTTTTAATTAATTGTCTGTTGAAGCTGTAATGCTTCAAGGGGGCCGGAATGTTCGGTATTCATATTTTTAGAGTATTTAGAAATTAATCATTATGTTAATTAAGTCACTGGTTAATTAATCATGCTAATGTGTATATAAATCACCACATTTATTGTAATATTATTTAGTCTCAGTAACAATTTATTGTAAATAGACTCCCGCTTTCAATATTCAAATGAGATTGCTAAGCCTGCTCGAATTTCCCGCCACAGTAAGGCCTATTTTCCTGTACTACATACCCATGAATCACCTGACGCCGTGTTTGCTTCAATCGCATTTCCTATTGGCCATCGAATTCCTAGACCCCTCTAAACCGCAATTGCATTTTTCAAAGTGAAATCGGTGATCGGCGTCTGTCTGTCCACGGTCGGCGTCCATAACTCACGGTGTATTCCGTTTCTCGTATCTCGGGACATTAATTGCCCATTTTACCTCTCTTAAGCGTATTTTTAGGCTATAGATTAATTATATCTGGCCTCCCTCTCCTCTATAGTACATTTAACTATATATACATTTTAATTTCCCCCTTTTGTTTGTGATTAAATTACTTAAATTGTGATCTAGTGCTTTCAGACTCTTCAAACCTCAAGACAGTGTGTGCGCGTCCGTGTATTACTTCTAGACTTTCCGTACGTTTTCACCGCGACTTCCGCGTATTAGTGAGCTCTTTGTGATTATGAACTTGGGTGCGTTGCGTTCTCCAAAATTCTACAAAACAGAAGCACTCGGTCTAAGGACTCCGCCATCCGCCATCGCTCCACCATAGACGACGCCGCTGCCATACTCTCCACCTTTGGATAATTGGACTCAAGGTACAACTTTAAAGTTTTGTGTGTGTTTTAATTAGACTCTAAAACTAATCTCATTTGCCCCTCACAAGACATTTTATTCCATCTCGGGACCTCAGTGCCCTTCAAATTGCAGATTCGCCATTTTCTATAATTTAATTATTTTTCTCTTGAACTATTAATTAGTTCTGGTCCTTCGAGTTATTAATTATTTTCATTTTCACCCATTACGCCCCCAACACAGTCTTTGTAATGAAACAGCAAAGTACGACGGTGTTAATTTTTACCTTTCTAATAAGGTGTGGTTTTAACAGACTTTGTTTGTTTCAGCTTGTCCTGATTTTGGTTGATTCCACTGTTACTGATGAGAAGATATCTATTCTTGCGTGAGTTACAAAATGTCTGAGTTGATAGAATTGTTTGTTTCAATTGGATTAAAAGAACAAAAGGCCAAAGAAACAGTAAAAAATGTAGTTGTTTCGAATAACTTAAAGAAATGTATTGAAGAAGCAAACAAAATAAGAATTGCTAATGCAGAAGATGGAACACTATTGTACCATTTAGCCTCCAAGGTAAAACCTCAAGTCGCAGAAAACATTCCTCTGCTTGTGAAATGGATAATGGAAAAGAAATTGAGTTCACCTCAAAGATTAGATGCAGCCTTAGAGTTTTTGTTATCAAATGCTGCAGGCAAGGTAAATGTAGATGCTCTGAAAGATGCTTGTGGAGTTGGAGTGACTATAACACCTGAACAAATCGAGAAAGCAGTTGAAGATATAATAAATGAACATAAAAATGAGTTGATGGAAAAACGCTACAGATTCAATTCTGGAATCATAATGATGGCTGTTAATACCAAGTTAAAGTGGGCAGATGGCAAAGCAGTGAAGAATGAAGTCGATTTACAAATATTAGATTTGCTTGGGCCTAAAACTGAAGAAGATTTAGTTCCTAAAAAAGGTGCCAAAGGCAATAATGTCATCAAGGTAAAAATCGAAAAGAAGGACACTAAAGAAAAACCAATCAAAGAGTCGGTCAAACAAAATGGTGTTGAAACGCATAATACTGTGTCCATAAATGATGTGTTAAGTAATTTAAACTTTCATAATCCTGGAGAGAACTATAAAACTGATGGATATGTTGTCACACCTAATACAACGAAACATATGCAGGAACACTTGAAGATAACTGGTGGTCAAGTACGGACTAGATTCCCTCCTGAACCGAACGGTATTTTGCATATAGGCCATGCTAAAGCCATAAATATCAATTTCGGCTATGCAGCAGTCAATAGTGGCATCTGTTTTCTGAGATACGATGATACAAACCCTGAAAAAGAAGAAGAAAAGTTCTTTGTTGGCATCAAGGACATGGTTGAATGGCTAGGTTATAAACCATTTAAAATTACCCATTCTTCAGACTACTTTGATCAGCTTTATGAATGGGCTATCGTACTGATTAGGAAAGGCCTAGCGTATGTGTGCCATCAAAAGGCAGAAGATATAAAAGGATTCAACCCACCACCTTCCCCTTGGAGAGATAGGCCAATGGAGGAGAATCTTCAGCTTTTCCAGGACATGAAGAATGGAAAGATAGATGAAGGTAAGGCAACTCTGAGGATGAAAGTTACATTAGAAGAAGGAAAGCAAGACCCTGTAGCATATAGGATTAAATTCTTACCTCATCATCGTACCGGAAATAAGTGGTGTATTTATCCAACCTACGATTACACACATTGCCTGTGCGACTCCATTGAACACATCACCCATTCTCTGTGTACCAAAGAGTTCCAAAACCGAAGATCATCGTATTACTGGCTGTGCAATGCCCTCGATATATACTGTCCTGTGCAGTGGGAGTACGGTAGATTAAATATGAACTATACAGTCGTGTCTAAAAGGAAGATTGCTAAACTGATCACGGAGAGGATTGTACGTGATTGGGACGATCCTCGTTTGTTCACATTAACTGCTCTGAGACGCAGGGGCTTTCCGCCAGAGGCAATCAACAGCTTTTGTGCTCGAATGGGAGTGACGGGAGCTCAGTCTGTAGTCGACCCGATGATGCTTGAGGCTTCAGTACGGGATGTTCTCAACGAAACTGCGCCTCGGGTCATGGTGGTGTTGAACCCTGTGAAACTGGTTATCAACAATTGTAACAAATCTAAAGTTAGTGTACCAGACTTCCCCAATGATCCCACTAAAGGATCACACGAAGTGACCTTAGATAAAGTTGTGTACATAGATGGTATGGATTTCAAAGAAAGTCCTGAAAAAGGATACAGGCGACTTGCACCGAACCAGACTGTTGGCTTAAAACACGCTGGTCTAGTTCTTACTGTGGAGAAAGTTGTAAAAACATCTGATGGAAATATCCTGGAGATTCAGGTGTCCGCTGAACCCGTTTCTGACTCTAACAAACCTAAAGCTTTCATCCAATGGGTGTCAGATCCAACCAGCATAGAAGTGCGTCTCTATGAGAGGCTATTCAATCACAAAAACCCTGAAGATACAACAGCTGTTCCTGGAGGTTTCTTATCTGATATTAATCCAGATTCCTTGAAAATTGAGACTGGGTACGCAGACAAATCAATTTTGACAGCAAAACATTTTGACAAGTTTCAGTTTGAAAGAATTGGATTTTTCTCAGTTGATCCTGATTCTTCAAGCGGTAATTTGGTTTTCAACAGAACTGTAACCCTAAAAGAAGATGCTGGAAAGTGTTAACCTTAACCTTGGAAGTTTATTTTTATATGTGTTAAATCCTTTTGTAGCTTTTAAAGCTCAAGCTGCTGCTAAATATTCATGGAAGAAGTATTTTGTTTTAAGGATTTTACTCTTTTAGTTCAGCTGAATAATTAAATGTTACTCTCTATTAACCTCCTATGATCTACAAGTATTATCTTGCAATATATTCATTATACTTACAGCAATATAATTTTTAAAATCTCCATCTTAATTACTACGAGCTTGTATTTAATATAACCCACTTGTATGTTAACAAAGCAACATCTAAATTCACAGCAAAGGACTACTAGTCAAATAACAGAATAAATAGAATTTAAAATTTGTAAATTACTATGTAAGAGGTAAAATAAAGTTATCACAGAAAACTGTAATCATGAAGAAAAGTATTCATATTCCTTGGTACATTATGTTGTATTTAGTTACTGCAGTGTTTTGCAAAGCAATCACTCAGTGTTTAAAAGCCATAAATGCATATCCATTAATGAAAGCTTTTTCAGTATTTATGATACTCTTACTTAATCTATTTCAATCATGTACCTAAATGTGACAGCTGGAGAGTGAGACAGACATATAAGCAATTACTGTGTAAGTTAAAATTAAAGAATTGTTCTGTACTGTTAATCCAAAATCAGCCACTGATTCTTTGATCCCATCTACTGTATTTTACCACTTAAAAGACTAATTATAACTATGTGCCTGTGAGAATTGCCAGATTTGTCTCTAGAGTTTTAGATTGGACAGACTACCGATATTCATAAACCTAATAATTATCTCAAATTAATATGTTCTATGCCTTTCAGAATGAGTATTGGAAAACAGGATTGGCACCTTTTTGGAAATATAAACTCTAGGGGTGAGGATAAATAAATTGTATTATTATGCTTGTTTTACTTGTATATTATAAGTAGATAAATAGTTTATCCTGGTCATAAATTACTTATTTAGTTTGAAACATTTATTTTGGAATTTGTCATTTTTTAAAGGTATGTAACTTACTTGATAAAGAAAATACATATAAAGTTCTCATACAACATTGTTTATTTTTGTTTTAACAAACTTTTATTTTTGTTTTGTTTTAAAGAAACTTTTAATTCGATCAACCAAAAAAATTAATGTAAACAACTAAGGGATTAATGTAGGAAAAATAATTTTTCTCCATGATCTTCTTGGATGGAGGTGGACTTATTTTGATTTTGTTATACTTATATTTGATCAATAATGTAAAATTTTTACTATATGTAAACAATTATTGATTAGACTATCATTTAAAGAAATTTGTTATATTTTTTTGTTCTCGGAGCATTGTATGATAATTCTATTTATAAAACTGTATAATGATCATAACAAACTATTGTGATTTTGAAAAATAAACTTTTGGAATGTTTTGAAATTTTGTTTTAGCTGTTATTTCACCCTCTAAGACAAGCCTCAAGTAATGAGTTAAACAGTTCTGGACAAGACCCTACCATCCTAGGGTGTTACAAAAATATAGGATGAAGAATAAAAATGTAGTGGATAGCAGTTGTTACTGTTCAATACTGCCTAGGTGCAGTCTTGGGAAAATTCTTCATTCCTGATCCAACTACAGCATTACATGGAATGTAGCTTCCCTGTAATGAGTGGACTTTAGTAAATTGGTTTCATATTGTGAGTTGGTTTATTCCTGAAAGTATAAGTATCGCATAATGCTCGTGTGGAACTAAAACTCAAGATGATGAATCAACTATCGATCCATATTTTAGCCATTGGACTTCATTTTGACTTTCTTAGTAGAGTAGAAGAATCTTTCTTAGAGAAAGACTACAGATGGAGCTAGTGTAGTTCTAAAAATGCAATGTGTGTGTATTCACTGCAAACACTCCGAAAATAAGAAATAAGTGGTGCGACCACTACTTAAACTCTCCTTTAAATAAACAATATCAGAGGAAATGCAAATTAAAGAACAGTAATCATTAGGTTAGTGGTAAAACAAGTTACAGTAAATATGTTTAGTAATAACTAACAAGGTCTAATAATAAAAACAATTGTACTTTGTAAGACTGTATTATGGCAATTTATAAAGTAAATCCTAACAAAGTATTTACATAGTTAACGATTAAATACAACACTGGAGCATTGCTTTATCACTCACGGTTACTCGGTCGGACGGTATTTTACAAGTTTCCTATACTTAACATTTCTGGGTACTATTATTAATCTAGATGGATAAACAATATGAATGTAATTCTTAGACTAAGAATTTTTATACTTAATCTTGTAACCAGTTTGTAAAGAAAAATCCAACTGAATTACATTAATTGCTACAACTGCTAGTATATACAGCACCACATACACTTTCAACTGAACGCATCAGCTTTTATAAATTGTAAAATTACAAACAGTCTATCAAAATTAATTTTACTGGGTTTCAATCTATTGCATTGCTCTATGCGTGAAATTCTGACAGTATAAACACTACAAAGTACACTATAAAACTAACCTATGATGAGATGATTAGATGGAAGACAAATTAGCTTAAAGGGTAACATTTTATACACAAGTCCTCGAACACAAGAAAAGAAAACTCAACATTATATTACACATGTAAATTCATTTTAAGGTAATTTGCTCGAATTAATTAGTGTTAAATACATACAATAACAGTTCTACACAGAACCATTTGGTGGTTGTTATTAAATCGCACAACAAATTATAAACAATGAAAGCTACAATACCATAAACTGGTGTTAAAACAGTCCTTGTACTGATATCACACGACCAAGTCGGTCAGTTTTTTGTTTATGTCTCACATCTTGCCGGAGTAGTGTGAGCCGAGGTTGGATGACGGACCTCTGTGGCCGTTCTTCTGTCCTGGACTGTACCTGCTGCCTGGACGGGAGTGTACGATCGCGTAGTGATCACTGTTTGTCGAGATTGATCTTGTCGAATTCATCGTTGATCCACCAGAAACGTAGCCTGGTTTCCCATTCAATGAATACCTGTTGAAAGAGATGGATAGCAAGATTATTACACACATTAGAGGATATTTCAACTAAATTTTTTTTTCTCAAAAAATATTTGATACCGTACGTTAGGTTTAAATGAAACAAGTCTGTGGAATATTGCTTGAATAAGGATTGTGAATTAGGTTTTTAAATAAGTAGAGACACCTGAGGTGGCTACTTTAAAAGTTATGTTATTTTCCATAATTGTAGTGAATACTGGATATGCTATTCAATTCAGGTTTAAAGTGCCTGCTTCAAATACAGGTCAAGTATTCCCCTACTTCTATTTTACTAAACCCCTAATTTCAAAATAGTGTGACGAATTTTAATAAAAAGTATATTAATAGACAGGGAAATAGTAAGTTTTTGACATCTTGTATGTTAGCTACATGAAATGAAGAAATGTTACAATCTTACCTTTAATTTCAATTGTTTAGTAAGCCCTCAAACTATAGTATCACAGTCCATAACATGCAGAATTGTTCAACACTATTGATCAAACCATATTTACATAAAGCTTTCTGAGGAAAAGGATCAAACTATAGATCTATAGATCAAACTCAATCAGCGGCTTTAAGAATATATCCTCGTCTCACTTGTGTGTTAATAAATAAATAAAAATGCCTTTATTTATCAAGCGATTTTCTGTTCAAACCACCAGATTACGTCATCATCACCTAACTAAAGCAATGGTAATTGGCAGGGTTTGAACAAACATCTTGCGTTCAAACCACAGCTGTGTCTAACGTTTTACTGATAGAAATATAAATTTATGTCTTTTAATATTGTAACCACTATATTGTATCGAGACTATAAACAACTGTTCACTGGAATTCAGGCTGATCAAATTAAAAAGTTGTCTATATTATTTTTCTAACAACATATTAAGCAATAGGTACTGCAAGTGATCCTGTAGAAATCTTATAATCCTCACCTAGATCCATACTGAGAGCCGTGCCAGCTCCTGTAAGGGTCGTAGTCCTCTATGATGCTCGGTTCCTTCTCGATGACTTCAGTGCGTGCGCAGGCACACGTCATGGCCGAACACAGGAACACATTGATGATCAACATGATCAGAAACATCAGTCCGAACGCTATGCACAGGTAGAGTAGCCACGACGGCCTGATGGTTCCGTCATCACACAGCGAACTTAACACTGAAAAAATACGGCATGTTACAACTGAACATAAATATGATCAAGGAAAGTAAGCTTGGAATAGTTAGACACAGACATGTTTGGTATTGCAAAGCTCTAGAGAGAGATGTAGTAGATTTAAGAGAGCTCAAGGGAGAGGAAGCATTGGTCTTGGAGAGCTGGAGGCAGAGGTGCCCATCCCCCCCAAACCCAGAGGCGCAACCTCCCCCCCCCCAAGCCAAAGGAGTAGTCCCCCCCAATTTATGCTGCCGTCTATTTAAACCTACCCTCCACCTGCCAATGCATCTGGCAATTTCCCCTTTACCTCATAAAACGAGCATTACAAGTATTTAGTAAACTTGAGGTAAAGAAAAACAAACCTGCTGATAATCAATACAGTATTAAATGTTTAATAGGAAACGTCATTTAACAATACATCATTATATCTAACTAACGGACAAATTAGAAGTTTTTCAATTTACAATTCAGAAACTGTATTGTCAGCCAACATGTGCTCAATATACTCGGTGAATTACTCTACTCCAACACAGTATTGTAACTGTACAATATATTAGGTGGCGTTAATTTTTACAGGGCTTAAGAATTCAAACAGCTTTAAGAGCATTAATAATACTTTGACAAAAAGTATCTGGTTTCAAAATTATAGGCAGAGAGTCACGAAATAGGGCAAACTTGTTGCTCGCCACTCCCAGGCTACCTTCTACAAAAATCGCCAGACAAAATACACAAAATACCTTAATTGTCACTAGCACAAAAGGTTTTTGTGACGAAGTAATCTTATAATTCATTTTGATAGCCCCAGGATTGCCTTTTATGACTAATAGTGGTAGAAACGCATCTTGTCAGACAATCCTTAATAATATATGTACAGTAATGTGTCGTATTTTACTTGCTACATATGTTTTGGCGGTTCTTAACATATTTAGACTTCCATATGTAACATACACCATCGTCAGATTTACAAAAGGATCGACTTCTGGAGGTGTCGTCAGAATATGTTACAAACATTTAACACAAAACACGAAACGATTACAGATAGGCCTATCAATTCATGCGAGGACATTGCTGCGGGCAGGACTGGAAGTAAACTGAATCAGGCATGGCATGACAGACCGACGTGGTCTCTGGATTGTCGTCTGCGTTTTCAATAGATGTTAGGACTAATTGTAGTGACAGAGGAGAGTGTTGAAAATATAATGGGAATCATAATTGAGTTTTCCATTCAAAACTATTGACAATAATAACCAATTTTTATGCCGCATATAAATGATGGTCTCGAAATTCTACATTACTGCGTGAAAAGAAATTTATTAAATACTTTGGAAGAGTTTGGAATACCGGTACATAAATAAATAAAACTAGGGACAGCACACAATTTTTGAGTGAATACACTCAACTAATTATGAATCCCATTATATTTTCAACACTCTTCTCAGTCACTACAACAATAGTCCAATATCAGCTGTTGAAAACGCACATCCGTCATAACGTGTGCGACCTGAATTGATTCAGTTTACTTCCACTAGTCTTCCAGTCCTGCCTGTGCCAATGTACTCTTGTGCATTGATAGGCATATCTGTAATCGTTTTGTGTTTTGTGTTAAATGTTTGTAACGTATTCTGACGACACCTCCAGAAGTGGATCTTTTTAAAGGCCTAAGAGAACACAGAATAAAAAAAGTCGACACTAGTACATATTAAGGATTGTCTGATAAGGTGCGTTTTACCATTCTTAGAAGCAATCTTAATTACGAATGGCAGAATGTTGTTGGTGTTGATAGTGAGCTACTTAGAAAAAGTTTTTCAGTCTGATTATACAAAATTCTACCATCATTATGACAGCTAACAAAAAATATCCCCCCCCCCAAAATCTCCCTAAAGAAGTTCCCCCCCAAAAATTCCTGTGGCGCAAACGCGCCACGGTCCCCCCCTCTGGGCACCCCTGGCTGGAGGGCAAGTCAAAGTTAATAGTGGAAGGGCTCAGCCCCCATCTTAGTGGCCATGAAGGGTTATTTAATAGGTTACAGAGTTCACCACTGACTTTGGATGGTGCAAGTTGACTTCCGATCCCAATCTAAAATAAAACCTGCAAGATTGATTTTAGAGTGTATTGGTGTTGATTTACCATTCCTCTTTCAAATGAGGGAGAATTTTACAGGGTGTGCTTTGCTCCTTTGCTGCTCAAATACTAGAGGACAAGTAGTAGTTTAAAAACTAAAATTGTTGTAGCTGTTATAGTAAGTGCAGTACTTAGGTTAATTTATGGTAAACACAAAAAAAATTACACTAAACAAATATTAATTTGTCTGATTGGATTTTTGTTTAAATATCTATATACAGGGTGATTGAAAAGTCTGGTTACGGCTTAATATTTTAAAATATAATGCAGATTGAGCTACAATACTTGGTACAAAGTTACAGGGCATAAAACTCTATTTTAACACATATTCAGTGATCCAATAACTCTTCAGGGGGACGGCCCACAAAGAGTCGGAAGAAAATCTTAAATGGAAGCATAGGTCAATATGCACATCAAATTAAAGGTCTTTTTTAGTAGAATACAATGCCGCAAACCGTACTTAAAATGGTTGATCCTGCGCAAAATGGCAGATGTTCAAAGATTCCTTGAATCCGCCATTTTGAATCTTTGAACGATTGTCATTTTTTACTCAGGCATTCTTTTGAGCTTGAATTTACGGCATCGTAATCTACTAGTGAAGACCTTTAATTTGATGTGCATATCGACCTATGCTTACGTTAACAATTTTCTTCCGATTCCTAGGGCTGTGCCCCCTGAGGAGTAAGCGTATAATAGCAATGTAAATTAAATGAATCTTTGAACAACTGTCATTTTGCGCAGGATCAACCTTTTGAAGTGTGGTTTGCGGCATTGTATTCTACTAAAAGAGACCTTTAATTTGATGTGCATATTGACCTATGCTTCCATTTAAGATTTTCTTCCGACTCCTTGTGGGCCGTCCCCCTGAAGAGTTATTGGATCACTGAATATGTGTTAAAATAGAGTTTTATGCCCTGTAACTTTGTACCAAGTATTGTAGCTCAATCTGCATTATATTTTTAAAATATTAAGCCGTACCCAGACTTTTCAATCACCCTGTATATAAAAGGCAAAACTCTCACTGACTCACTGACTGACTGACTCACTCACTCACTCATCACTAATTCTCCCACTTCCCATTTACCAAGGAGGCTGAAATTCGGTACACCGATTCTTTGGGCATTAAATAGGACAACTAAGTAGTTTTTATTCTGATCAGGCTTTCGGGCTCCGCCCCAGTGGCTCTGGAGTTTCCCATGTTAACCTTATGAGTACTCATATTTAAATGGAATTTAAAGAATCTTAACAGCTGTTTCAATTAAACAAGTTGGTTCTGTTCTATGATGTTCAATAGCATTAAAGTTACAAGTAATACCAACAGGGTGCAGCACTATTATTTTTTTAAATTTATGACACAGCTAATTTGCAACCAAAAGGTGAGTGAGCGTAGCGAACGAACTTCAACCTGGAGGCGAGTTAGCGTAGCGAACGAGCTAACCTGAAGGCAAGTGAGTGCAGCGAACGAGCTCTAACTAAAGGTGAGTGAACGTAGTGAACGAACTTCAACCAGGACGTGATTGAGCCATGCGAACGAGCTCATCTTGAAAATTAAGAAGCTAAACGGGGCAAAGCCCGCGGGTACAGCTAGTTTTCTTATAAAATGACATATTTATCTTCCATTCAAATCAGCTTGGGTTTAACGAGTACTTAGATTTGCTGCTACAGGGAAGGAAAAAAGTATTTTTTACCAAGTGTGACTAGTATAGTAAAAACAATTTCCCAAATCTGATCAAAGAAGCAAGCTGTAACCATTTACGTTCTCTTCATAAGAATAAGATAGGCATTTTAAATGTACAGCACTTTTTAGGAATTTTCTCCAAAACCTTTAACTGTATAAAAATGCTTAGATAACATGTATTTGTTTTAAAGCTATACATTATGGCTGTAATAATGATATTCTAGCTTCAAATCAAATCAAATCAAATCAAATCATCTTTATTCCATAGACACAAATTGTGAAAAGTACAATAGTGTATAGGCTGCGTCAACAATATAATACAACTTAAAACTAATCTAAGGTTGAGGCAAAATAATCTTCTATTTTATAAAAACAGTTTTTTAGAAGAATTCTCTTGATGGCTACTTTAAAAACATTTAATGGTAACTTTTTAACTTTAACTGGTAACTTGTTGTACAATTTGGTAGCGGTATATTTGAAGCTAGCTTGAGTGGTGGCATAAAGGCACTGATCTATTCTTAAATTATTACAATTCCTTGTGGCATAATTGTGCACATCCTTATTACAAAGTAAAATATCACAGTTGTTTTTAACATATAACAGACATTGAAAAATATAAATACAGGTTAAGGGCATCACAGACAATTTCTTAAATATAGGCTTACAATGACTACGTGGTGGAGCATTACTTAACAGTCTAATGGCTCTTTTTTGTAAAACAAACAAGATGTTGGCATGGCTACAATTAGCCCAGAGAATGGCACTATATACTAAATGACAATGAACATAACTAAAATACACAGTTAACAATACATCTGGAGAAACAATTGATTTTAAATTTCTTAAAATAAAAATTCCTTTGGAGAGTTTTGGAGCGATAAAATCAATATGGGAAAACCATTTTAGGTTGCTCTGTATCATCACACCTAAGAATTTGACTGGAGTTTGAGAATTCTTAGAGTTACCATAGGTCATTTCCAGATTTTGAGTTTTGTTTACGTTAAGAGACAGCTTATTGGCCTTACACCAGTCGGACATTGTATTAACAGACTCAGAAATTACACTGTCCTGCATACACTTAGTAGACTTGATATTCAAACACACGTCGTCTGCATACATAAAACATGAAACATCATTACTTTGGACATTAAAAGGTAAGTCATTAACATAAATAATGAAGAGTAGGGGGCCTAAAATGGACCCTTGTGGCACTCCGTGGGGAGTGTGTTTAAGCCCTGACAGTGAATCCTGGAAATAAACAGCCTGGAATCTGTTGCTCAGATATGACTCAATCAAAGACACGGCATTATCACAAAAACCAAATGACTTTATTCCAAATGACTTATTCATGTTTCAAGAGTAAAAACATTCCAAGAAAAAAATTTAAAATCCTCAATATTTTATTTTCATTACCAAAATCAAACCTGTTATTGCGAGTTTTATTCCAGTAAAATTTGGAGTGTATTTGTGTTAATTTAAAATTCCTCTTTCATGTGTGGGTGAATTTTACCATGTGCACTTTAATTTTTAGCTACTCTATACCAGAGTCTACAATTAAATTGTTCTAGCTGGTATAGTTTATAGTAAAACCATTAATATACTCTAATGTAAAAAAAAAAACATCTTTATATTTTCAGTTACCAGTTTTCAGTTACTTCATTAGTATGGAATGCTGTAGGTAGTCACTTATCGAGTGTCCTTGCTGTTAAAGGAAGGACAATGTGTGTCTGAGTAGACTCCAAACAATGAGAAATTCTCTCCACGTTTACACCAGAATTCATTACTTCTTTGCTCTTTTGTATTATAGAAACAAACTGACTCCTTCGAAGTAAAAATCACAAGAAAGAAAAGATTTATTTTAACTTTTGTAAGTCAAACTGAGTAATAGTATGGTTAACTCTATTTTAGTAAATTTATGGTAGATTTACGTAGGTAGTGAAAGTTAAGTGGAGTCGTTTTTCAAATTATTTAAGGGTTGCCCTTGAACGTATTGTGTTCAATAGATATATGCTATTTTCAAACTATAATATAATATTAAGATTGTTGGAATAAGCCAAGTAGGAGTGAAATGATGTGATTTTGTGTGTAAAACACACATTTGATGAATGATTATTTACCAAGGATCACTCTATTGGATAGCAATGTAATAGAATTATTTGGTTTGTCAACTTTCCCACAGTATTGAAAAGTCTCAGTTAACTTGACAATCTTGAAACAAATGTGCCGATTTTAAGTCCACGCTGTTTATGATTGGTTTGAAATATGTGCAGCATATGATGTTAGAGCATTTTTGATACTATGATGTTCTAACTTTGGTTATTTATAGAACTAGACATCCTATCTCCATATTAAAGTTGTCGCTAGTTTTAGAACAAAAATGGACATAGCTAAGATGAATTGTGCGGAGTTAGTCACTGACTTTTGTCAAACACACCATCATCTTGACCAACTCAAGCTTATAAGGCAACTATCTCAGTAAAAAAAATACAAAAAAAAAACTAAGGGAGGAAATAGAATTTAAGATGGAATTTAGCAATTTTGAATTGGTTATTTGATAGCTGGAAGCTACGATCTATGCTGATTCATATAAATGGGATGTCTACTTCAGTATACAAGAAAACTGGTAAATAGGCCTAGATGAAATTAATTTTTTACTATTTCATCCCTTGAATCCTCTTGTCCGTTCAGACCGGAATGATTACATCAATATGACCTAAGATTGCAGTGTGAGGTAACAGAGAACAATAAATCCAACACGCCCAAGATGCAAAGCCGATGTTGCTGTTTATGGAAGGACAGAAGGCTTTGACAAGGCGTTGGCTCCAAAACTGGTTTGCTCTTCGGCCAACGGCTTTCGCATGTCGCCCACTGCAGCTAAGTCGCCCACGGTCTACTCAGTCTATCTGGAGTGTGTGGGCTCATTGAGTTTAACATGTCGTCCTTTAACCTATCACATTACACTCAAAATTTTCTGTGCTGATACAATTTTTTTTTTCACTATACAATTTGTAACGAAATAAAACCACCATTCGTCCATAGTACCTACTGTCTTTTAGTTCTGAAGTTGATATCTCACCAGTATGGGCAAGCCCTTGTCAGTTTTTTTAATCAAAGAGAGTATAGGTAGTGAAATAAGCATCTCATGGAGTGTGCTACCCTAAGTATAGATTATCTTTTACGTTGTCACATACGGTAGACAAAATACAATATTTAAATCTACCCTCATTTTGCCATTGATAAAATGTTTGTGGTTGGTAAAAGAACTGAGTTTGTAACAACACAAACTGTTGGTAGCTGAATCATGTCCAATATTTTGTTCAACTAATTCCAACTATTACATGGTAATGGAATATCTACTTGAAAGTAATTTTTTCTACGGCCAAAGGACCCTAAGCCATTTAACACCCAAGCTCAAAACCTGCAGATGAACTACTCGTATAAATACTTAAGTTTCCTTTATCTAAAACAATTCTCTACACTGCAGACATAGCTATAATAATTAATTGTTTTACTATCTGTTTAATGTATTTTGCGGTTTAATAGTTCTTAAAAAGCTAACATCAATAATTTCTTATTTCCATCTCTTTACATGGTACTTTTTACACTCCTTAAGTGAGATGAGTGTTTTTTTTTTTTTTTTTTTTTTTTATCGATTAACATTGATTGATCGGTGATATTATTGTTTGAAATGAACTTTAGGTAGATTTTTCTACAAAAACAGCTTTTAAAACATAAATTACCAAGTGCTAAACTTTGTATCTAGAATATCATCAAACCCTTTTAAGATCCTTTTCCCTAGAGATTTAATTGATTATTCTTTTAACACAACTTATAAATACAAATCAAGTTCTGAATGTTATTACAAACTTAGTATTTTTATCTATGAAAGTCTTGGCCTCAAGTCAAGGCCATAATCTGAATAATCCCTTTTTTTACTAATTTAAGATTTATCATTTCAATGCACTTTTTATACTTTTGGAACTAAGCCAAAATCTTTGTCACTCTCAGTTTCCAATAGCAAGATTTTTTAACATAAAGGTAATTAAGACTAATTGCTTTTAGCAAATTTCCCATATAGGGAATGGCCTATTTTGTCAGACCTAAGCAAAAACAGCAGTTTTTAATACATCTGTTGCTGATCTGAAGTAGCTTTTTTACACCATAGGGAGCAAAAAGCCTAGGGAGTAAAACTCACATAAAAATCACATTTATCAAAATTTATGTATTGATTGATTTAATCGGCTTGTTGCATTCTTGTCAATAGTTGGACATATCAATGGTATAATGTACAACAAAACAATTGTAGGTATAATAGACAAAATAGTTGTACGCATTGTTCGATTTGTAAAAAAATGGGGTGCCGGAACTGTAACCTGTATCAAAAATATTGATGTTTTGAAGCAGAGTCGATGTTTTTGCCATCGATACCGTAGTTGTCTTCCAATATATTTTTAGTATCGGTATTTTACTCCGATATTGCTACTATCGATATTTCACTCCAATATTTTTGTTAGTAGCATATAATTTAGTAGTATATTTAGTATTTACTCTGATATTTTTTTTTTTGTTTTTACTATAATTTTGTTTTACAACCTAAATATTAATGTTTATCGATATTTTGACTTTGATATTTTTTTTACATCTATGTTTAAAGGCCGATATATGATTATTGATACAAATATCGATGTTACTGGTTTGATGTCCCAACACTAATCCAAGCTGAACAAAATGGGAAAGGGAACTGGCCAACTGGGAAACACTGGACCAGCTGATCGTAGTCAGAAGCCTATCTAAAGCTTATAATAAGTGTTGCCAACTTATTTTCAAGCGTACAGTACACGTATTAAGTATTACGTACGTAATACTAATAATAGCACACAGTTTTGTGTTGTTTAGATGAAATACTAAAGTGCGGCATAAAAAAATGAGTGGGGCAACAAAAATTAGTACGGCAAAATTAAGTAAAAAATGCAGGGATTAGCTACTTGGTGTGCTATAATCATTGCAAGTAAGCACTGATTTCTCAAAGAGAGAAATATTTTATATTGTCTTTAAATGTTTTAAAACGTGGATTCCTATTTTAAATATGTCCCCAACCACAGGGCTGCAAAATACTGTAATGTAAATCTGTATGATGAACCTGTGATCATATCCATGAACCATTACTTTAAAACCTGTAGGCTACAGTTTGATTACAATCTATCATGTACTTACAAGGCTCTTCCCCAGGTTCCAGTACAAACACCGTGGTAGACGCCATGATAGTTCCCTCATCTGGAGTCTCGCTGTAGATGTCTTTGGGTTGAGCTCTCGCCAGAGGAGACAACTCATCATCACAATTCACTTCGGGACAAGCTCCTATCACAATTACATACATTAAAATTAATGACATTGCAATTAACATTGAAATTAATTAACTTCAATGTGTTTCAAGTTACAATGTTTTGGATTTGTTAAAATTTTAAATTTGTTTTCCCTTAGACTATCACTCAGCTATACTATACTCCGTTCACAAACTTAATGTGGTTTTAGGGGAAGAAATCTATCCCCTCCACTTTACCCTTACCTTTAATAGCCCTTACCTGATTAAGCAACATACAGCACAAAAAAGTGGTAGGGGAACTTCTCCTCAAACCACATACATTTTGTGAATGGAGTATAATGAGATGGAATATTTTGTAAAAAAAACTGTGTGGTAGGTTTATTTCATTTTACAACGATGACCTTGATTATAGAATACTTGAAAAATTCTCTAGTCCATCTATGGTAGTCGTAGCTGTTTTTTGTAGCAGCTTTAAAGGGCTTGTACATAATTTAATTCTCATTCCCAGTGCTCGATTTGTAAATAATGAGGTGCCGGAACTATAACCTATTTAATGTGAGTAGTACCTATTTATGCCAATATATCTTTATCTTTCCAAAAGAGAGGTACATTACTAGAACTCTGTTCCGTCGTGTTCCCCCGCAAATCGAGCATTGCCTACCCCATTGCTAAGTAGTTGTAAGACTACTACATGTCACATTATAAAATCATGGGTGTCATCAGCAATTATTCATCAGAAGGAGGGAAGTTTAGCCAGAGTAGACTTATTTCTTACTGTGGTGTTTCTGTCTTTATATGAGCACAAAAAGGTCAGTCCTATTTCACTCTTTTTGGTCACTTAGTGAAAAAAAAAAATATATATATACATATCTAAACAAATAACATTTTTTGCAATTCACGGATTCAAGGGAAACTAGCTCACTTAGTAGTGACAGACAGTAATATACTAGGGATAGTTAATATAAAATATATGTGCATAATATGGGGGAAGACAATTTTTATATTATTAATGATTAAGTTTTATAACTTTTTTAAAATCCTTAACTTTAAACATGCCTCCTCAGGGATGAACCCTTAGACCTCCATGGCAATAGCATTGAGACCCCATGCTATTGAGGGTCTGGAATAAACAGGTCTCATGAAAAAAGCAAGCATGCTATTCTCACCCAAAACAAAAGTTTGTATCGTCTCTGTCTATCAGTTTTTACCTTTGCACACAGCGATGTCACATTGTAAATGGAGCTCTGAGCTCTCAGGGAATCTGAACATTGAGAAGATTGTAGCATCTGCGTAGCCGAGTTTCTCATTGTATTTAAATTCTGAGATGATGTTCTTGTTGTTGGCGCACCTGCAAGATCAATTACAACATGTAAGTTCACACACTTGAAAATTAACTGTAATAACTCATCTTGTTTCTCAGCAGCCTGTGAAAGTATGTATTTGGTAGAACAGGTTTTTTGTACTTACAAAAATAAAATTTGAACATTTTCTTGAGGTTGAGAGAACATGTTGGTTATATGTATTAATTTGTAAATTGTATACAAATTTGTAATTAACAATTATGATACATTATGTATCGTAAGATATTTTGGTTTAATGTGCGCACATGCACATCCTACTTGCCATTTTAAATAATTCTATCGCTATCCTTGGAATTGGAATGGACAAATTAAAGTAAAATAATTCACTGAGATTCAAGCACAATGTTTGTACTGTATGGGTTAAATTTTTGGTGATAATTTATATGGATGTTTCCAGCATAAATATTTGTTTCATTGACATTATTCACAAATCATGTTCATTCTTCAAATAATTAACTCTTCATCTACAAGTGTAATATTACCTAGATATAACAAACAATATTTACAAATAAAAACAAATTTTAGGGGGGTTGGGTTACAGTGCACTCAATCACTAATAATCCTTAACTAATGATAGTGGTTTAAATACCTTATTCTGGCAATCCAATTGTTGTATTCCAACCCACAACTAGTTTCAACCTGCTATCATCAGGTGCGTACAAGGATGACCTAGGAGCAGGTTGAAACTAGTTGTGGAATACAACAATTGGATTGCCAAAATAAGGTATTTAAACCACTCTCCTTATAGTTATTATTCCCCATCTGGAGGCTACTCATACCACAACTAATCCTCAAATTTGTCCATATATTCAGTGTTTACTCATAATTTAATACTTTATTCATATCCTAAAACCAGTACCAGTACTATTCAAAGAGTTCTGATTAGTCTAAAACTTGTGACTACCAAAAACATATTTAAATTTTATCTTACCCTCTATCGTCTATTAGGTTGTCATCTATGCTTCTGTTTCTTTTGCTAAATGCAAAACAGGATTTTACTCTGATTCCATACGTTCCTGAAACAATTACAATTTTCCATTATTTTAAATCTTCTATATCTACATATTAATAGGCAAGCATATTTCTTTAAAACCGTTTTTCTCAGCTTGTGTGTATCTTACGGAAAATCTACATATACTGTTGAAAAGATATTTTCCTGTAGATGTGTAGGATCCCTTCATAAATTAAAATAGGCTCAAAAATAAGCACAAAAATGAATTTAAAATTAAAAAAAAAATAACATGGACCTTATAGGATGCCATGCTGGTGACGAAATAACCATGCAATAATAACAGAAAATCAAAACAATGGAAGAAAATCCAATCACATGTTTTATTTACAGCGTGGGGTGAAAATAGAGAAGTCTGTACATTACATATTTTTGGTCAAGGTTTCGACCACTAGACGACCTCTAGTATATATATATATATATAAAAAAGCCGTTTTTTTTTCTTAACACTACTCCTCCCTTATTTGTGGACCAATTTCAACGTTTAAGGTGTCAAAAGATCCGTCTTAATTTATAGTTTTGCAATAAGGTTTTAGAATTAAAAAATCCTACCCTTAAGGAGGAACCTCCTAACTTATTCAGGAGGTTAAGACTAAGTTGAACAGTTAATCAGTTTTGTTGGAAGAACAGAAAATACCTCGAGTTCAAAGAATAAAATATTGAAAACGGGAGGAGACAATTAATAGGTTATACCACAATTAATGTTTGAACACATTCATTGGCTTTGCATTGGTACCGACAGGGTATAGCAATAATCAAGTATAAAATATCGATGACTTCAAGCAGGCCTAATCCATCTTGTGTTGGAGATGTCCTCAATTATTCATAATTGCGAGAACTGAACCTTGTGTTTACAAGACAATGAATCTGAGCAGGGAAGGTCTGGAATGTAGGAGTGGAATGGTGTTATTGAGATAATCTGTGCCTGCCTCACCTATCTGTTAGAAACACATTACATGCCCACTCCAACCATTGCTTCTTGGTTTTATAATACACAAATAATACAAATAACTCATCTGCTTAACACTTTTCTTCATAACGAAACTTAGAGGGTCTGTAGGAAGAGTACATTAAATATACTGTCTAACCGGATACAATAATAATGCAGAATAAAGATTTGGTATCAGAATTCTGGGGTAATAAGTTGATTTATTTAAATTAGTTAAATTTTAATCATCAAAACATAAACAAAAATTGTTTGATTGTTAAACTGTTTTATATTTTTAGCAGTAAGAATTTAGCAAAGATTTTACCATGAGTTGGACAAATGGAAGAAATAAATACATTCTTTAAAAAAATGTATAGTACATAACGGCAGATTATTTTTTGAAAAACATTTTATTCAAATTTAATTTTTATCTAAGATTTGCTTCAGTCAACCAATGAAGTGTAGTACCAATAGCACAATCAATCTATCTGAAGTGCACAACATAATAGATTTGCTGCTGAGTGACATTAAAACCAGTCTCTGTAACTAAGGAAGCTAATACAGTTGTTATCTATTTTTTTTCTATCACATATAAACATTAAAATATTTTTACGCCACACTACACTATTTTGACGAACTTCCCATGCAAGGATTTAGTCCAGAAAACAGCTGTTTGTCGCCAGCTTAATCAAATGGGGTTTCATTGCGTACTACTGTACTGTACTGTAATGAGTTTTACCGGACACCAATCAGCTGATTATACTGTATTTGGGTGGCAATGAGTGGTTATAACAAAAACATAACCTATCTTAGAGGTTACTAGTGTTTTTTAGTCCTTTAGTCGGTGGTAATAAATAAGTATTTGAATGGATTTAGTAGAATGGCGTAAACTATCGTACGTCACTCGTCCAAAATGTGTTTACCGGACTCGTATGGTAATCCCGTACTCGACTTTGTCTCGCACGGGAACGACCACACTCGTCCGGTAAACACTTATTTTCAGGACTAGTAACGAAATATACTATTACAAATATGTTGGCACTTAATATTTCATTTTCTTGTTTTAAGCCAATAATTAACTGTACAGACGATACAGGGAAAACTTTATGTGGTAGAATCAATTTAGTGCACCCAGACTGTCCAGTCTGGAACTAAACGGTTGTTCAGTGGTCAGTCCTTCAGCCGAACCTTCACCCCGGTCATTACGAATTACATGATTCTCTGTTTTGTTCGGTTTCGTGACGGAGATCTCACGGTCCAGTGTCCCCTTTCGGCAAAACATCACGGCTTCCTCAGGCGCAGGTGGCACAAAGACATGACGTCATTACAAGCAAATCCTTGTGTGACGCAAGCAAAAGCTACACGTCACGCACACTTCCACCGTAACACTAGCAGCTGTCTACCAAGTAGCCGAGTAGACCCGATGATGACCGAACTATCCCGGTAAAATTAAAGTGGGTTATTCTTGTGGTGGGAAAATGTAAAGATGCTTGAAGAGCACCAAGGTCCACGCAAACCATTAGCCTGTCACCCGTTGAATAGTGAACGATCACGTCACGAAGTAAAATATGTTTAGAGATAAGCACTGAGTGAATATACGTGCATTTAAATTATATATAACGTTTATTGGTTGTGTAGCTCACTTAAGCGCTAATTTTACGTATAAACAAACTTAATAAGTAAACTACAAAACTACATCGTATTCGTAGAGAAGATAAGGGTAGAGCCACATTGTTTTCAGAGACCAAAAGAAAATATGGCGAAAAAGTTAATAAGGAACGGAATACATTTCGGAAACTATCATCACACATACAGTATTGCAAGTATGTAAACAGTTTTCCAAGCAATACAAATTGATCATCCATTAATATACAGAAATATCAACTAAGGATAATATTTTTACCCCATTGTAATCAATATAGATAATCAGTCATATCCGTATATAATAAAAACGTTCATACTGTGTGTATGCCTAAAGAAATAAAATCTTGTTTGCCTAAAACAAAGGCTAGTATTGGATTGTGTTTAAATGTTTTGTTTTGTCATAACAAGAGAGAGACACAGACACATGTCTAATACAATATTCAAACGCTGTTCTGACCTCTGTAGGGTTTATTTACAGCACAAGATTGGAACTAAAACGTAACGAAAAAAGAAAAACAAACAATATTAGTATTGTTATTTATTATATTCTTCATAGTGTTACAGTACGGGTTGTTTTGTATTAAAAACCGGCAACTAATATGGGAAGTGTCAAAATGGAAAAATCAATTTCTCAGGTCAATTGATTGATGTAGACAATTCTAAAATTAAACTTGAATTTAAAATATCGAAATCATGTTGAGAACGCAAAGCATCTCCCACTTCATGTTAAATTGTTAGTACTTAGATATCTGGGGCACTAGACAGACGAATAGACTGGCGACAGACAGCAATACTGAGTTTATGTTTCCCCTTGAAGCTATAATTTTCACTTCAGTTTAATTGAATTACTTCTAATCATGCAAATTGATGTATGCAATTTTATAAAATAGACCTTTAGCGTAATTCGCAATCATTTCGTATATACTTTGGGTGAGATCACAAGTATTTTACAAATAATGAATTGTTTGTGGAGCCAAAATGTATGGGGTGAATTTTATTTAATGCAGAGAAAGTAATAATAATGACCTTAAGTGGCGGTAAACATTCTTTTCATGTAGATATAGTCGTCTAAAAGACATCAAAATACATTTTTTAATTTTCTAAATTGGCCGAGATTGATTTAGAACTAACAATTAATAATTATCATTTACCGTGCTCATATTACGATTGTTAGCTCACTATAAATTGGAAAGTAAAGTTATATTGACCATTTGAAACTTGTGTTAATGCATTGACGGTGTTTTAAGGTGTAAACTCCACGAATTGACACGTAATGCATTTAATTGACTTTTCAATTTAATTGACTCCCAGACAGGTGAAGAGGATATTGCGGTATATTGTAACTAATTAACTAAACGCGACAGTTCATGAGATAGTTATTTGTAATGTCCACAAATTTAACGCAACCTTAAGTCATTAGTTTTCAATCAATTACTTTGTGTTTAAAAATACAAGTACCTTCTTAACTCTTAGTATAATTTTAATGGATTTTTTTCAACGTGTCGAAAACATTACCTACTCATCCAACAAATCTCTTTTTAATGGGAAAATATGTAGCTTTGAACACTGAACTATCAACATAATTTGAAATTAGCTACTTTACTCAATAGTCTGAATAGTTTGATTTGCCTTAGTATATTTAACACTTGGTAATACCATTATACGCAGCAACTCAGCAAACTACACGGGCAAACTGTGGTTCAGTTTACGGTTCATGAAACATAATGCGTGCGGTTCAGAACTACAACCACAAAACCACTTCTGCACTCAACAACAAAGAATGGAACATTACCCCTTCGTACATTCTCGCAGGTGAATGACAAGTCAAACTTGGCTAATTTTTGTTTACAAAATATTGGATTTTTGGTTTTGGCTTTCTGAAATTGTTTTTGCATTCTAATGAAATTTACTATTATTATTAAATCGATTATCAAAAGTTAATCGCCAGTATATAAATAGTTACCTCAAATGATTAGTTTATAAACAGTTTTTTATAAAAAATCGTTAAGTGTATTGCATATGTATTATATATAGGTACTGTATATAATAATCTCCACTCTGTTCATAACTCAAATTGTGGCGGTTACATTTTTGTCATAACGAATAATTTAACACAGTCAATTTATTTAAACGAAATGCTGTTAAATTTGTTCTTCAGAATATAAATTTATACCTACTTACGATTTTATTCTCCAAACAATTTTTTACACTTACCGTCAGGCCTGGAAATGTCAGCTCTGAGAGTGTACGGTCTGCCATAATAAACCTCTTGAACTCTGTGACCGTCGGCCAGCAGCTTCAGTGATACCAGGGACGTTTCGTTCCTGAAACAGGGAGCAGGTGAAACTATTATGAAATTGGAACATGTTACTTAACACTAGAAATATCTTATTTCTGGAACAGGTAACAGGTAAAACAATTATGAAAATAGAGTGGGATTGGGTTTATTTAACACTAGAAATATATTTTGGAACAGGAATAAATTGAGAAATTATGAACATTAATCAGGGTTGTTAAACACTAGGGATGTCTTATTCATGGAACAGGTGAAAATTTTGAAGTGGTTGTGAAAATGGAACGGGTTCATTTAACACTAGGAATTCGGAATAAGCAGGTCATTTCTGGAATAGGGAACAAGTGAACGAAATATAGGGAGGAAGTGAAACGAATATAGAAAAGAAAAAAAATTGTACTAAGCAATGAGCCTAGGGATTGTATTTGCGGAACGGGCAAATCAAATTTGTAATAAATCTTCTTTAACTTCATGTCTCGTTTCTAGAAAAGGGGACGAGTTAAAATAGGCGGTTTTATTTCAAACCAGCGATGAATAATTCCTGAAACCGAAGACAAGAGAAAACTTTTACACCTGGAATGGTTTGTCATCACACTACTGTAGTTCTTGAAACAGGGGACTGGCGAATCAAAAAATAGCAGTAAACACAAGTACCAGTTTTTATATGACACGAACAGGAACGGTTTTTATGGAACTATAAGGAACAAATATGATTCGGAATGGTAGATTCTTGCAGGGTCTGTAGTCACCTGCTTGGATAATCATTATTACACATTGTTGTCGTACAACTCATTAATTCATAAACACAGTCGATGCTTCAAGATTTTATTTAGAAGATAAATTTAAACATACAAGCCAAACAGTGCAAGAATTATGGTAATACTTCGTAGTGAAGAAATATAATTTTATCCAATGTTTAATTAGCGTTCCACCTAAACAAAACAAGAACTCAGATGCTTGCAGGGATGTCTTGCCTAACCTTACTAATTATACAAACTGCATCAAGCAATTAGGACAGGATATAACAATGGCAAAAACGTGCGCTGTCCTCAAAGAGAATGCTTTATTGCTAATTCAAACTAGTTATTATGTTTACAGCGAGTTTCCGTCTGAAAATCATACGATTTTGTGGATGTCTTTTAATTTTATTTAGTTGATGGTCTGTTACAATATGTCTGACAGTAATTATTATAAGATTTTAGATGACAATAGGATTGGATAGAATTAGATTATAATTCTAATGAAGTATTCGTACAAAAATGTACTCTAGAAAACTCAAAACCTATAAAATCTTTTTTTGTTTATCTTAAAATATATTTGTTTGACACATCTATCTATCTATCTATACTATTATAAAAAAGAGGTGGTTGCTGTATGTGTGTATGTGTGTATGGGAAAAGTAAACTCGAAAAATACTGGTCGGATTGGGCTGAAATATGGCATGATGATAGCTCACATTCCCGATTAACATATAGGCATATTCTTATTTCAAAAATCCTTTCGGTCTCCGCCCCAGTGGCTCTGGAGTTTCCCATGTTAACCTTATGAGAAATGGAATTATTGAATCTTAACAGCTGTTTCAATTAAACAAGTTGGTTCTGTTCTATGATGTTCAATAGCATTAAAGTTACAAGGATTACCAACAGGGTGCAGCACTATTATTTCTTTTACATTTATGACAAAAGCTAATTTGCAACCAAAAGGTGAGTGAGCGTAGCGAACGAACTTCAACCTGGAGGCGAGTTAGCGTAGCGAACGAGCTAACCTGAAGGCAAGTGAGCGCAGCGAACGAGCTCCAACCTAAAGGTGAGTGAGCGTAGCGAACGAGCTCCAACCTAAAGGTGAGTGAGCGTAGCGAACAAACTTCAACCAGGACGTGATTGAGCCATGCGAACGAGATAATCTTGAAAATTAAGAAGTTAAACGGGGCAAAGCCCGCGGGTTACAGCTAGTCTTCTCTAAAATTGTTACATTGTCTTAATCTCATACAATTATTTAGTACATTCCCCAAAGTTATAACAAATGTTGAAACAAATCTTAAGAAATATACCAACGTGCGATTAATTCATCACATTGAAAATTATCATAAATACCCCACATATAGGCCTATGGCAAAATATAAGGTAAGAAAAAGGTATTAAAATTTATTAATCAACTGGAATTTATAATTAGGCATAGACAAACGACTAAGCAATTCATCCCTTAATGGGGTAATTCTCATAAACAGGGAAATAAAAGCAAACTGAATCATTATAAAATATAATCAAATATAATCATTGACATTGAACAGTGGTATTTTTAATCTATGGTAAAATTTTGAACGTTTATTACAGTCTGTCTCGCAGATCAGCTGTCAATTACGTCAATCAGCTGGCTGCAGACGACTTATGTTTGCACCGGCAACAGACTCTTTCAACTGCTTGACTCTCGTAATTGTCTTAGCCAAACCTTTGGGGAAATCAAAACTTTTAATTACCTTCATCTGGTTTCCTCGTTGTCAATTGAGACGCAGACTGCTTAGAAATTTTATTTTTGTTGATTACATTTTGATACGGAATAAAAAATATTATCTAGCGTGTTATCTTTGATCTTTGTTGTAGTTCTATTAGATATTGTTGTAGCCTCTTTATATAATATTTTTTCTTTGAAAACTACAGTAGTATCTTTTATGGCATGTTGACTATGGACTTAGAAAACTACTTATTTCTGGATTTATATATTATCAAACACTATCGAACTATGAATATCTGATTATAAATTGGGCAATTAAGTGGTTTTAGTTCTCGTCTGCTAATCCTGGTTGTCGTTTGGACAAGAGGCTTTTCGATGGATCAAAACTGGACCCAGCTGTCCTTGATAATTGAACTTTAAATAACGCTCCTTTCACACTATACGGTATCCGCCGCCCGGTCGATTTTACGTCGTGTCTATGTTTCTATCACATTACATGGTTTCTGAACTTACGACGAGGTAAATGGGTTTACTACGTAACAATAAACACAAACAGCGTCTAATTGTCAGGTCAAATTATAAACGACGAATCACCAGTTCATGTTATGGTTATAGTCGGTAACAAAGCTTTAGTCACTTTAAACTCGCTCTGCATTCATATTTACCTTGAATTAATAATTTCATCAACATCTATCATAGAAAATATAGAAAATGAAATAACATTTTTTTTGGCATCTGAGCTTTTAGAACTCTTTGAAAATATTGCGCGATCTTCTGTCAAATACACAAAACCGTTGACTACAGTCGTGAGACATTTAAGTTGATTGTAAATGTTCCCATGATTGTAGCGTTTTCAATGTGATGACAGGACAATTATACAAACATTTACATCAAACGTGCGAAACTGCTGTGCACAGTGACGTTGTCCCTTCAGAAGGTCAGAACAGAACCAGGAAAATTCACAGACACAATTGCATTTAAGGGGAAACAAAATAAAACACAAAAGAAATGGAAAAACATTAAGCTAGACTGGTACTTCGTAATGGTAAACAAGTAGGCCTACAAACCATTTCAGTGAGTTATTAACAACTTGAACTAAATGTAATGAGAAAAACTGAAATCAAGGTACTGTAATTAATATTGATCTATCCACTCTGAAATATTTTGAATGTGATAATTGACTATGGATAGTGATAGTGAACCTCCGTTGAAGTTTTAGTTTTAATTTTTATAGTAGTAGGTTGGTTCATAAAAATGCAAATTGTAATGTACAGAGTTTATTTTAAGTTGCCTTTTCAGATGTGCTTTGTTTAAAAGTTCGTGTATGAAAAATATGTATTGTACATCACCATACTAAGCCATGGACTCGAATGAACTAAGCTGTTTTTATTTTAAACAGCAAAAGAGGATGGAAGATCTACTTCTTCGAAGCGAATATCTTATTGAAATTTAAACAACAAATTTATATGATGTGCAGAAGTTAACAAATTTATTAAACATGATTATTAAACAATTAGAATTATAATTGGTAAATTAAACTTACAACGGATTATCAACATTATTTAACATAATATTTTCTACAATGTAACACAATCGCTAAACATTAATACGGGAAAGTTTAAATGTTTAAGAAGAAGCGTGAAATTGGCGGAGGTAAATAGGTGATTAGGGAACAATTAGCGACATTGCTAATTAGTTACTTTGTTGTATTGCAACTTTGATTCAGCTGTTTAACACACGATACATTCGTATATGTATTTCTCTCTCAATTAAAATTTACGTGAATGTATTGAATTATTTACTCTCTTGCTTTTAAATATACGTGGAACAAAATTATGAGTGTAATCAGCAGTAGATTATTCCATTACAGTTTAAACTTATTCACGTTAACAATAAAATTTATTAATGAACAGTATCATGGTGTATCAAAGAAATACATTGTTGGAAAACGAGTTCTGTGGTTTATTGTCATAATTATTTACAAACCGAGATTCAACTTGTTTAATAATCAGCGTTTGATGTTTCTATGGCTACCTGTTTAAAACTGTATTTATTGTATTTTTTACATCGTAGGCCTATTCCAAAAACCGTGCTCCATATTTTCTATAGCAAGTTTTTTTGTAGTTTTGCCTAGTTGTCATAAATGTTTGTGCAGAGTTCCAACTCCGTATCTTTAACTGCTTTTCAGAAAAAAACAATAGGTAAGTGAAAAAAGAAAAACAAATTGGCGGCTGTGGACAATTTAAATAAGATATTTAGATATGTTTCTAAATGTCAATAGGAACAATGCCCTAAAATATTGGTAGAAGAGTTCCGGGACACTCTGCATATGTCATATGTTACGTTTTAGCAACCTGTTCCAAAACAGCAGTTTGGAACTTTTCCAAAACCGACGTTCCATGTTTCTATAGCAACCTGTCCCAAATCCAGTTGCAACATGTGGTCCATGTTTCCATGGAAATGTGTTGTAACCGTTCCACAGATTGATGTGGTAGTTCCATCGCTACCGATCGAATAACGACGTTTGTTAAGGGGTGGTGGAGGAGATTGGTAACATGTTCACTACCGTTCATCAGCGAG